TACCAATTTCATTGACAGACAAATTGATTTAACGAGGTACATAGATTGTTGGTGATTGCTTGGAGAGGTCAACATGCTCAGTTTTGATTTTTTAATTGGGATCAGCATACCCAGTAGAGCTTGTTTATTGAGATCTGCATTCATTTCAAGATTGTTTAATGAGGTAGGTTGCATGGTAAGAGTTTGGTTGTTGAGATCAGCATAAACTGTCAGTGACTGTGAAATCAACATGCTCTGTTAGAAACAGTTTACTGACATCAGCATACACTGTTGTTGAGATCAGTATACACGGTTCTTTACTGTTTCTTGACATCAGACCTCTAAAGGTCCGGGTTAGAATATTGATCTTCAATAACCCATGCTTGTCGTAAGAGGCGACTAACGGGATCGGGTTGTCAGGCTCGCTGAATTGGTTGACACTTGTCATCGGTTCCCAATTGTGCAGATCGATGCTTATGCTATTGATCACTGGATTGTCTGTTCCAGACTCGATTATTTGCAGACCGGCACCATATAGCTGGAATATTGCTGGAACTGTTTATTGAGATCAGTTTACACTATTGGCAACTGTTTACTGAGATCAGTTTACACTACTGGCAACTGTTTACTGAGATCTGTTTACACTATTGGCAACTGTTTATTGAGATCAGCAAGCAATGTTAATGATTAATCAGAGCTCCAGATAAGATTTAGCTCATGTGGGTACTGTACCCACTGTATTTTTTTGCAGTGGGTATTATGAATTTTGAGTGGGTTTTTCATTATCCGTTACCCACTGCTTTCAAATATGTGCGTATTTCACATATTTCACGTATTTCAGTCATTTTACTCACCTAAGTATTATGTCATTGAGTAAGTTTACTTAGCAGGTATGTTCTGCCTTATGTCATACCGAAGCAAAACCAACTTAAATATAATGGAAATGATTTCGACCAAAGTTATAATTATTGGTAACTGCCAGTTGTCTGTGGTCTGTGTTTGTCGCGATTAGGACCCCATCACGGGGAATTGACTTATGCACGAAACATTCCATTTTGACACTGATTTTAAGGTTCGAGTTTGGGGGTCGTCTTATCCATGGGGTCGTCTTATAGACGGTCATATACGGTAACTGTTTGTTGAGATCAGCACAAGTAACTAACTGTTTGTTGAGATCAGCACAAGTAACTAACTGTTTGTTGATATCAGCACAAGTAACTAACTGTTTGTTGAGATCAGCACAAGTAACTGTTTGTTGAGATCAGCACAAGTAACTAACTGTTTGTTAATATCAGCACAAGTAACTAACTGTTTGCTGAGATCAGATCAGCACAAGTACAGATCAGCACAAGTAACTAACTGTTTGTTGAGATCAGCACAAGTAACTAACTGTTTGTTGAGATCAGCACAAGTAACTAACTGTTTGTTGAGATCAGCACAAGTAACTAACTGTTTGCTGAGATCAGCACAAGTAACTAACTGTTTGTTGAGATCAGCACAAGTAACTAACTGTTTGCTGAGATAACTGTTTGTTGAGATCAGCACAAGTAACTAACTGTTTGTTGAGATCAGCACAAGTAACTAACTGTTTGTTGAGATCAGCACAAGTGTTAACTGTTTTGAGATCAGCACAAGTAACTAACTGTTTGTTGAGATCAGCACAAGTAACTAACTGTTTGTTGAGATCAGCACAAGTAACTAACTGTTTGCTGAGATCAGCACAAGTAACTAACTGTTTGTTGAGATCAGCACAAGTAACTAACTGTTTGTTGAGATCAGCACAAGTAACTAACTGTTTGTTGAGATCAGCACAAGTAACTAACTGTTTGTTGAGTAATCAGCACAAGTAACTAACTGTTTGTTGAGATCAGCACAAGTAACTAACTGTTTGTTGAGATCAGCACAAGTAACTAACTGTTTGTTGAGATCAGCACAAGTAACTAACTGTTTGTTGAGATCAGCACAAGTAACTAACTGTTTGTTGAGATCAGCACAAGTAACTAACTGTTTGTTGAGATCAGCACAAGTAACTAACTGTTTGTTGAGATCAGCACAAGTAACTAACTGTTTGTTGAGATCAGCACAAGTAACTAACTGTTTGTTGAGATCAGCACAAGTAACTAACTGTTTGTTGAGATCAGCACAAGGAACTAACTGTTTGTTGATATCAGCACAAGTAACTGTTTGTTGAGATCAGCACAAGTAACTAACTGTTTGCTGAGATTGGCTTTCACTGTTAGTATGGTTAGTGATTCTTTATTGAGATCATGAACCTGTTTTCAAAAACAGAAATGATAAATACCAAAGTCTTTCCTCACATGCTCAGTGTAGTCTAACAGAGGTGGATGAGAAATACTGAGGAAAGTAGTAACCTGCACATGTATTCAATGTGTTGGCTTCTGGAGACCAGAGTAGTGTGAAGACACATGAAATGTGTAAAACAGTTTTTACCTGTACACTGGAGTTTCAATCATGATGTAGAAGTGATGGGTAAGCTGCATCAGTAGCTATCTTCATCGTCATGATCCGCCATATAGCTGGAATATTGAGTGGAATATAGCTGGAGTGCGGCGTAAAACTAAACTAAAACTCACTCATTGTTATGATTGTATGTTTCGTACTTACATTTGAGGTCTGCAGTACAGGTATGTGACTCAGCCTGGAATAGTCTGATGGTTGAAGGGTTGGCTTGTCGGGCTGAAGACCTGTGTTCTATTCCCAACATGTATACAGTGTGCAATGGGTCGTTCCAATAAATATTTGCTGTGTATATTTTCTGAACCTCCATCCTGCTGCTGTAACTCTACCACTGTATATTACCAAGATGGATGCTTTGTGACATGTGTTGCTGATAGGTAATAGCTTTGATCTTGCCTTCAACCAGGACAGAATCTTACATTTATGTCTCACTCAATCACCATCCAAGCCACCCACCCACCCACCCATTCTCTGAGAAATGTCATATAGTGACCTCTGATTTTCTCAGACCCTGACTCTGACTCCCCCCTCCCCATCCCCAATGTAAGTTTTAATGTTACACTTGTCAAATTGTCATTATTACAAGGATAATTAGGAGATAAGCATACTGTGTTAGAAAATCAGAGGTATGTAATACAATTATAACAGCTCTAAATGTGATTTAAAACTGAACGTATGGCATGAGGTTTACTAAAATAATGTTATCATCCACTTTTATCGTACAAGATTGCAAATGGCCCTTTTGACTGAGCCCTCTTGTGATTTAGTGAGTGATTAAGTGAGATTAGTTGACAGTGGTATAGTGTGTGTTATTGGGTAGTTATTACACACCATGGGAAACGGTGGACCTGGAGAACATAGTGGCCGTGAGCTAATTGTCCGTCATTTTGTTTGACCTCTGGGATTCTCATATTGACCGTCGCTTTATGTATTTACAAAAAGTTTTTGAGTGATCCATGGGTTGGTTGTGTTTCCTGTAGAGTACAGGTTGCTCTGGTTTGTTTAAACTTTCTTGTGAAATACTGTGTCTTGTACAGGTGTGTGACAGGCAGGACACTATTGACTCCCTATAGAATGAGTGAGTAAGTTTTATCTTGCTTTTAGCAGAGTTCCACACCAGAAATGGGCTTCAGTGCCATGTGGGGAATCAAACCTGGACCTTTTTCATCCCAAGCAAATGCTTTAACCACTGGACTACCCCATTGCCACTCACTTTAGAGATTGAGTGAGTTGGGTTTTATATGCTTTTAGCAATATTCTCGTACTATCACAGCTGGGATTGCCAGAAATTGGTTCCATACATTGTACCTGTGTGGGTAATCAATCTTAGGTCTTTGGCCCGACAAAATCAGGTGGCTGTCTTGTAGCTGTGTATTGCTGAGTGGAGAGTTAACCAACAAAGAAACAAGCATATGACAACATGACATTTCCATTCCTCTGTTGACCAACTACATCATTCAGTGGAAATGTACTACCACAGCTGAAGAAGTGAAGTATACTCCAGCTACTTTTAAGGGGTGGAAGAAAAGCCATCATCATGATGATGGAGGTGGTACATTTTCCCTGTGGGGCCACACACTTTCAGAGAGTGACCTTTTGGAAGGTAGACTGTCCACCAGTAGGATTCTTTTGGAATCCCAGAAAACTGAGGCCATCATTAGCTGTTTTGACTGTTGTGTATCCCTGGCTGATAGTGTTGAACCAAAGACTCACCCATGGATATAAATCTCTAAATGAAATCAACTGAGTCTGCTTTAAAATGGTGTCAGTAGTTTGAGAGATGATGAGTGAGTGAGTGAGTGAGTATGGTTTTACGCCGCTTTTAGCAATATTCAAGCAATACCATGGCAGGGGACACCAGAAATGGGCTTCACACATTGTACCCATGTGGGGAATCGAACCCGGGTCTTCGGTGTGACGAGCGAACACTTTAACCACTAGGGTACCCAAGCACCTCGAGAGCTATTGAACCACTGATCATCCAGTGTCATTTGATGTATCACACCGACATTTTCCTCCATGGAGTGGGTGCTGGGGTATCCAAGATGTTAAAGCATGTGCTCTTCCCAATGAGTACAGCCCATGAGGGTTTGATTCCCTCACTATTTAGTGGTGATAGTTGAAGGTCTTCCTGGTGTTGGATCATCCTTGAGACTGTCTCTCCCCCTCTGGAACTCCATTCCCCACTTCTTGACAGTAGCAGGAAGGATAATATTTCTCTGAAGCACTGACCATGTCGGCACTGAGTGACTGATGGCTGTTCTAGCTAGCCCTTTCTGTTGGTGATACTTCATGACAAAGTGATAGCTAATTTGGTACAACTTTCAGTAACAGAGAATATCTAGTCAATTCACTTTGGCAAAATATGATGTCTGGTTGTGTGTTTTGTTTATATGCGTCATGTAAACACAGAGCGTGTTTGAAAGTTCTTTTGTATTAAGGCTTATAAGCTGTTTCTTGTATAAAATTATAGATTTATGTAGATTTGTATGTATTAACTTGATTTGTAACTGCATTTAACAATAATGTCTGTTTCATTACAGTCCCTCTGACAGGAGAGGATGGCCTTGATCTAGGAGAAGACAACTCCATCCAAGATGAAGACACCCCTGATGTGACAACAGTGGGCACTGATTCTGGTTAGTGTTGTATTGTATGTGAATCGAAGAATTCTGACAAGAATTGTTATCTTATCGGGGTTTTTCGTCTGTGGGAATCTGGGTTAGAATAGGACCACAGATATTATGCTTTTTTGGGAGACAATCAGATGGAATGGGGGGTCAGGCTCAATGACTGAATAGATGGCATATCATTGCAAGAATCGAACACTTCATTCTCTACCCCAGACTTGATCATATTTTAGTGTATCTATCATCAGCATGTTTTGCACGACTTCAGTATTAGGGACTGTTCATAATTTCGATTTGATTTTGTACAAGACATGCAGGGGAACACTTAGGGAGGGGGCATTCACATTTTACATGCTTCTTCATAAAAGTCATTATCACCCCCCGGCTATATTTTATGAATGGTCCCTTACTTGATGACATTGTGATTACAACCACCTTGAACAATGCGCTTTTACACAGAACAACAATGTCAGGTGACATGCCTGCTCTTCTTCTAGAGTCGTTGTCGCAGACCCCAGTTCCTGTAGTGGAGGCTGATGGGACAGAAGAGGACGATGGAGAGATACTGTCAGACGAAGATCCAGCAGAGGTCAGAGGTCAGCCGTTCTGTTGTGAATCGTGTAATGCCATCTTTCACAGCCTGGACCAGTTCATGGACCATCGGAACTTTGACTGCAATGGAGGTAGGGATCTGTTAGTCTTAGTGTGTATTTCCAGGGTCCATCTTTGTTTAACGTTCACCACTCAGATGGTGTGACTGAGACAGCAGCAGGTCCCATTGCTCAAAGCCATCTTAGCATTGATTGTAACCTAGGCTTACAAATATGGTAGTAAGTGGGCAAGTGATTTTACATGTGCCACTGTACCGGAGTACACTAGCAATTTTAAAGTTATTTCAACCCCTGAGCATGTATGTGTGTATTTTTGGTTTGATGCTACAGTCCTCATTACTGAAAGCTATACTCTATAATTAATCCAATCCAGACCAGACAATCCAGTGACTGACATCATGAGCATCACTTCATGCAATTGGGGGATGGTGGGGTAGCCTTGTGGTTGATGCATTCGCTTGTTAGGCCGAAGACCGAGATTCCATTCCCCACATGGGTACAAAGTGTGAAGCCCATTTATGGTGTCCCCTGCCATGATATTGCTGGAATATTGCTAAAGTCAGCATAAAACTAAACTCACTCACTCACTCATGCACTTGGGATAAGGTAACATGCATAAACTAATTATACCAACCTGTTAGTGTTAGTCACATTGACAATCATAGTTTGCTGAAGACCAATTCTTCACATGGGTCGCTGTATGGAAACTCTTGAAAAGGAAACATCTCAAGGAATGTCTTTAAAACAGTGTGGAGATGTGTGTCTCTATTTATGTGATTGAAAAGTGTACTTCATGGTGTTATTCTCCCAAGAGAGGACTAAACACTGTCATACAGCGGGTGTTTTATTGATGCAGGAGGTGCCTTAGCACTAGGAATAATGGCACCAGCTTACACTTTTCAAATCACGTTTTGATATTTCTGTTGCTGTTTGAGAATATTTAATCCTTAAATTGTAACTGTGGAACGTATTGCAACCTAGCCTGCAATAAAGTTGAGCTTTGTGAAAGTTAAACAGCAGAACGGCCTCATGTTCTCTTGATTTGAATAGTTCCTACTCCACCATTATTTCGGTTCTATTAGCGAATCGAGGAAATACCAATCTCATCAGTTTGACAAATAAGGCTGGACATTGCGTAATGCAAGCACATGTGTAGTACATGGAACTCCCTACATTGTTCCTACTTCCTGACTAAATATAAAAGTGAATCCTTGATTGCTGTGGGGAGTATGATGAAATAGAGTTTCATTGCCTGAATCAGATGTGACAAAGCTTAATGCTTTCTGGTGATCAATATCAGGTAGAAAAAAACCCTGTTAATTTGGTAGGATTGGGTTTTGTTTGAAATGCTTCAAAGTTTCATTCAATCTTTCAGGATCAATCTTATTCTAAGTAACCAATTACAACTGTAAGAGGTATGTTAGCCATGTGTTAACACGCTAGGTGTGTAGGTATTGAAAAGGGAATCAACTCTTGTGAAGACCTTCGTGGAAATGGACAAAATGGGATAAGCATAGGAATACTTTTTGCAATTGATGTGTGTGGACATAATGTTGTAAGATGACATATCAGAATGGTTCAAGATGGCAAAGAAAGAATTTACACATCCCTTTATTGATACATGGTAGCAATAATAACAACAAGGCAAGGAGGCGGATGTGTTGGTGCTAAATGGGTAGCATGATAACCAGAGTCAAGTAAAATTCTGTTCAGGCCAGTAATCTCTAAAGTATTTGGCACCATCTTTTATCGTGAGATATTTGACTGCGAGACAGAGTTGAAATTTGTGTGTGGAGGGTTGCATGATTTATTATTCATGAAAATAATTTCAGCTATTATGTTAATATGCTGTTGAGGTTCACTTAACGTCCATGTGTGTTATGATTACAGATGGATGCCTTTCCTTTACCCAAGACCTAATTCATAGTCAATGATTCATGATTCACAATGAGGAAACTTATTAGTTTTGATAGATTTCTGACACACCTAGTCCATTGTTCACTTACTTGAGAATTTCATCAGTTACGAGAAGAAAAACAAACTGTCAAGATATTTGGAGAGATTAAAAAAAAGTCATTGTGAAATAGACCTCATCCAATTATCATATCATCTTTCTTTCCAGCCGACCTTAATTTGAAGCGAAAACATTATTCCTCGCTATAGATATCATTTCCCAGAGGCATCCAGTTTCTCACATAGGTTGTCCTTTAATGCGAGAAATCGATGAACAGAAAAATGTGAAGTGATGGTGTGAAATGACTATCAGCGGGGATGCGTCAATAGCAAAGTGACAGGCAACGGGTGCCGAGAATCGCGAGCTGTCACCACGATGTACTTGGACACTATTACTGTCACTTTCAGACCAGACTAGCAGGCAGCAGGCTGTGAAATGAGTTATCAAATCTTACGTTCATATTGATTAAATGCTGTGTAAAAGTACTATTGTATATTTACAGCCACACAGAAACTGATGCACTATTGTACATTTCAGTCACTCGTGATTTCCTGGCTACCTTGCTCATCTTGTTGCCGTATTGTGCTGTCACAGTCTTTGAGAAAATAGTATATTGTTATTATCTAGTATATAAATATGTATTAGTCCATAATCCAGACATATTTAAATGGCAGTCCAAGTCTTTGTTTTCAAATGATTTTCACATGGTTGTGAAATATACGATGTAGAAAGTTGGTTAGGTAGCCTTCTAGTGGAGGTGCTCAAGTGCTGGCTCTTCATTGGTTTATGGGCGATGGGGTAGCCTAGTGGTTAAGCATCCGCTTGTCATGCTGAAGACCCGGGTTCAATTCCCCACATGGGTACAATGTATGAAGCTCATTTCTGGTGTTCCCTGCTGCGATATATAGCTGGAATATTGCTAAAAGTGTCGTAAAACTAAACTTACTCACTCTTCATTGGTTTGATTCTCCACATAGTGCAATGTGCGAAACTCATCCATGGTAATCTCTGTTGTTGAAATTATCTTAATATTGGTGTAATATTGCTCTCTCTGTAATTATTTCCTGTATTTTGAAGAATCAACATATTTTTCAAAAATACTCAAAAGATTGATGATCAAGTCAACATTTCACCTTATAGCAGTAGCTGTACTTTTCAATAAGAAACCAACTCTGTCAGAAGAAAGTTTGTATTGATAGCTGATACTGTTGAGACATCAATAAGTGTGTATTCACACTTGTGCAGATTCCTTGCTGAGTAAGCAATGATTGTGATGAGAGGAATCTAAGCAGGGATCAGATGACACTGTGGTTGAGTGTGGACAGTCCATGAACAAATGGCCACCTGGGACGACTGTCTCAACTGTGGCCCAGTCTGGTTAGAGTGCCCAATGGCTCCCAAGACTGAGGGTATTGACTGGTAGTTTTCCCCATTCCAGTCGCAGCATATAATAACTCTCTGGGAGGATACAATTGCAGTGTTGCTGCAGGCTTCAAAACCTCACTCACTCACTCACTCACTCACTCACTCACTCACTCACTCACTCACTCACTCACTCTTCACTCACTCACTCACTCACTCACTCACTCACTCACTCACTCACTCACTCACTCACTCACTCACTCACTCACTCACTCACTCACTCACTCACTCACTCACTCACTCACTCACTCACTCACTCACTCACTCACTCACTCACTCACTCACTCACTCACTCCGATGTAAATTCAATGTTCCTGGCACAATGGCTTCAATGCATTGGTATCTCCAATTTCCGTTGATGGCATTGATGTGACATTTCCGGGCCTAATTGTTTACTTCAGCATTTTAAACTTGACATATTTGTTATTTGTAAAATATAATTGTGATAACAGGTTAACTGTTACATTTTTTACTTTATGAATACAGCTGTGATATATACTGAAAGTACTTAGTGTTCAAGTTGCTATTTCTGAAACTGCTATTACCAAGTTGTGGAAGCATGCATGTTTCTGCCACAAGCATGTGGAAGGAAGCACCTAAGCACTCAGGCGACGCCCACTGATCACCAGGTATATATATTTAGCACAGCATGGATGGAAAAATAAACTTGATTTTCTGCAAGTTAGCTTTGCTGTGATTTCTAAAATCAATACAAACCAGGGAAGGCAGATTTGGCGTAATGAACTTCACAAGGGGGGTCTTCAAAGACATTTGTGAGGACCCCTCGAGGGTTGACTATGTTAGTCTGCCGCTCTGTGCAGTGGCCTAGTGGTCTTGTCAGAGGCAGCCCACCCCCTGGGGTGAAGAGAAGCCCAGTAATTACACAGGGAGCAGGGAGACTGAGTGTACCACTCTCAATCTGAGTCCAGCTCTGTCCCCAGGGGGTGCCCTACACAATAGGGTCACAGCTCCCGCTCATACGCGATTGGTTCACGGATTTGAGATCTTCAAAGGCTCAAGGACCCCTTGATGACTGCAGAAACAATGAAACAGTCTACCATTTTGATTTTGCTTTCATTTGACAATTTTTGAGTTCAGATTCCGTCCCTGATTACACAGTATTTGCACATTTCAAAGAGATTTATTTCCAGCTCATGAAGAAGTTTATCTGCATCGCTTACTTGGCAGAATACATATTGACATTTTGATAAAAAATATGTAATAGCTTTGTAATACAAGATAAAACATCTTCAGATGTGTGTTTTGTCGACTACAATTAAACAGTATGTATTGTTCGTGGATTTGAGTTCTGGTGATTGTCACTTCTGAAGTTATTTGGAAAGTTTGGAAATAGTTTCAGTGTCCATATGTGTCCTTCAGATGATATCAACAGTTACACAGACATAACGAGCTTTAAAAGAGGAAATCAGGAATATACATTGTAAATTTTCTCTGATCAGTTATTATAAAGTAAGATTTAACAAAATCAGTTGCTTTTTATCTCCTGATGAGTTTCCCAAAATTTAAACTTAACTATGCCACTATAGTTAATGTAAGACGTTATCAACAACACAATTTTCATATTGGTAATCATTGATATTTCTTCCCATCAAATGTAATTGAGATTATTGATCACTTTAGTCAACTCTAAAAAATTGTGAAAGTCATTGAGGGTAATTTAGGATCACCTTCTCGC